CAGGACGAGGCGTGGCGCCGCATCCAGGAGCTCGAGCGTGTCCTGCAGCGTCTGGGGACGGAGCGATTTGAGGAGGTGAAGCGCCGCATTGAGGAGAACGACCGCGAGGAGAAGCGCAAGGTGGAGTACCAGCAGTTCCTGGATGTATGTGGGCAGCACAAGAAGCTGCTGGAGCTGTCGGTGTACAACTGCGACCTGGCGATGCGATGCATCGGGATGATGGAGGAGCTGGTGGCGGAGGGCTGCAGCGCAATCAAGTCGCGCCACGACAAGACGAACGAGGAGCTGGGGGACCTGCGGCTGCAGGTGCATCAGGAGTACCTGGAGGCGTTCCGCCGCCTGTACAAGACGCTGGGCCAGCTGGTGTACAAGAAGGAGAAGCGCCTGGAGGAGATTGACCGCAACATCCGCACGACGCACATTCAGCTGGAGTTTGCCATCGAGACGTTTGACCCGAACGCGAAGAAGCACTCGGACGCCAAGAAGGAGCTGTACAAGCTCCGCGCGCAGGTGGAGGAGGAGCTGGAGATGCTGAAGGACAAGATGGCGCAGGCGCTGGAGATGTTTGGCCCGACCGAGGACGCGCTGAACCAGGCCGGCATTGAGTTTGTGCATCCCGCCGAGGAGGTGGAGGACGGCAACCTGACCCGCCGCAGCAAGATGGTCGAGTACCGTGCCCACCTGGCGAAGCAGGAGGAGGTGAAGATTGCGGCGGAGCGCGAGGAACTGAAGCGCTCCAAGACACTGCAGAGCCAGCAGTACCGCGGCAAGACGGTGCAGCAGATCACACAGTAACCTGTGTCCGCCGGTGTCACCCAACGCTGTTGCTGTTTTCCCCATTCCATGTATGTTTTTTATGTATGTAAATGTATTGTTTTTGAATTCAAGAAGAAAATTTTTTTATTGCGGAGATTTAGCATGTGTTTTTCTTTTGTTGTTGTTGTTTGTTTGTTTGAATTTCTCTGAAGATTTTATTTTTGTTTTTTTTTTTTTCTCTTTTTTTTCTTTTTTTTTTTTTCTTTATGATGTATATTCATTGCTATTTTTTTTTTTTTTTTTATATTTGAAGGCAACTTTGTTGTTGTGTTTTCCAGTTTGTTTTTTGATGTTGACTGTGATTATGTATGATGCGTGACTGTTTTTGTTTGTTTGTTTGTTTGTTTTTCATTTATTGCGGGTTGTTTCGTGTTTCCGCCAGCGTGTCTTTTTTGTTTGTTGTTTGTTGTTTTGGTGTGTGTTGTCGCTGCCTGGTGATGTGGTGGACTGTGCTGCATGCTGCCATGTGTGCGTTTGATGCTGCTCCCCTCCCCCCCTTTCTTTTTTTTTCTTTGCTTTTTTGCCTTTTACTTCGGCGAAGGATTTTTCTGCAAGCGTGTTAATCAAAAATTTCTTTTAGTTGCGAAGTAGAACACGGGTTTGGGGTTCACGGCAAAAGGTGTGTACCGCGGTGTAGAAAAGAATCTGATTTGTGTGCGTGTGTTGGTGCGTCACGCGGTGTTTGTTTGTTTTTTGTTGTTGTTTTTGTTTTGTTTTGTTTTTTATTATTTTAAATGAACGGAGAGGTTTCGGTGGAACGAAAGTTCAGCCCTTCGCAGCCCGGCTACGGCAGTGAGGGATGCCGTCAGTCAATGGGAACAACAACAAACAACGGCGCCCGCCGCTTCTCGGCGACGGAGCTGGGCCGGACGGTAGGCATGCCGTACTCCTTCGACACCATGCGGTACCTGAAGGACGTGATGCGGAGGCGGGAGGATATCCACACGATGCGGGTGATGCCCAAGACGCACCTTCTAGCCCAGTTGGTGCTGCTTGAGCAGTCGGGACGGGAGATGCTTATCCACCAAGAGCGATTTTGCCGTCAGCAGATTGCGCACAAGCGTGATGATGAGCGGTCAAAGCGGGAGGAGCAGCGCCTACAGCAGAAAAACCGTGATCGTTTGGAGGAGATGAAGAGAAAGCAGGTGGAGGAGCTAGCCGCATTAAAGGAAGGGGTGACCTCCTTCCAGAGGCAGATTGACGCCGAGGTGAAGGAGAAGCTGCGCATTGTGTGTATGCTGCAGCCCCGCATGAATGTTGCCGCCGCTGTCCTTGCTGAAGTGAAGAACGAGGCATCCCCTTTTCTGCTGCTGCCGGAGCTCATGGAGGAGGAAAAGCGCGTGGCGAAGGCACTTAAGGCGGACAGTCGCCATAGCAAGAGCTCCGTTGACTGTGGGGCCGTGCC